CCACGCCTTACTCTTTACAGATAAAACTCTCAATTATTCAGAATATGTATATGAAAATGTAAATTGCGATTTTAGTTAAAGATTATTAAAAAAATATTTTTGTAACAAAAGCAAAATTTAGTTCTGTAGCTATAAACGAGAAATAGACAAGAAATATTTGATTCTAAGAATGGGACTGAATCGATTCAAACTGGAATCAGATCGATATATTTATTTAATTGCGAGATTATTAATTCATTGAATATTCATTTTTCAAGGACTTAAAAGCATTTGTGCTATATTTGGTGAAGATTGAAGTATTTATTAATTGTGTGTCCTACGAAATGTTTTGACAATGAGTAATAAGTTGTTGACTTAGAAACCACTTGGATAAAAATATATTTAATTAGCTTAGAAAAAGTCAAGCCCTGCCAAACACGCACTTGCAAGACTCAACTTACAACGTATATTAGTAACTTTTCACAATGATCGAAGTGAACTCCTTTCCGCAAAAATATTTAGGACCCTATTTTTAGGATTGTAAAGAGGAAAGATCACTCCTACGACTCCAATCACGGTATGTATTAGTAATTTTTCAACATAATCGAAGTATACTTCTTTTGTGAAAATATTCAAGACCCTATTTTTAGGGTTGAAAAGAGGGACGATCACCCCTACCCTCGCTCCCCGCTCCATTTTCATTTATTGAGCAAGAAAACAAAAATAAAAAAATAGCAGCTTTTATATGACTACCCATATATCATTAATAATTAAATAAATTTATTTAAATTAGAGAAAAATAACTTTATATGTTAAGTTATAATAGGTGGGTACGCATAATAATCCATCAACAATTGATTTTTCTTTAAAAAATAGTTGGGTGTAAGTTAGTTGAAATTTTTTTTCATTGAAATGTGCAATTGAAAATGAAGTTTTTCATCATTTATAAAAGATTTATAATTTTTGCAAGAGCTAAAATTTTTAAGAAATTTAATATCAAAGAATATTATTTACTGAATATCAAATTCTATTAGGGAAAATTTCATAACTAAGAAATTAATTATGGCACATTTCAAAAACAAGAAAACAAGTTTCAAATTTCAAAAATCAAATTTTTATTAAAAATTATTTATAATTTAATTAATTAATTAATTAATTTAGTAATTTAATATATTTAAGTCATGGATTTATATAATTTGATCACAAATTAACGATTTAATTCATCACTTATTATTTTTTGGTCACAAATCAAAAATTTTATGTCATAAATTATTTTACGGTTACAATTCAAAAAATTTATAAGTCACAGTTTATTCATTGGTTACAAATCAAAAATTTATACGTTACAATTTATTTATAGGTCACAAATCTTAAATACTATATGTCACAAATTATTAATTTTTTAGATCACAAATTAACAATTTAATTCATCACTTATTATTTTTTGGTCACTAATTAGAAATTTTATGTCACAAATTACTTCACGGTCACAATTCAAAAAAATTATAGGTCACAATTTGTTCATTGATCACAAATCAAAAATTTATACGTTATAATTTATTTATAGGTCACTTATCATAAATACTATAGGTCACAAATTATTAATTTTTTAAATCACAATTTATCTTATTGGTCATGTATTATTTATTAGTCACATATTAACCAATTTAATGGTCACAATTAACAATTTAATCTGTGACCACCACCAAACAATCATCCTCCAACACCGTTGCCGGCACTACCATCACCCTTCATCAAACACCACGACCAAAAACAAATCAACACATCCGAGACCACAACCACCAACAGCTCACCGTCACCGCCGCACCCACTGCCACGACCACTGTCTCTACCACCACGACCACCGTACCACACAACACCACCACTAGCACAACCAAAACCACCACAACCACCGCACCGCCCCCACGAACACCACCACCATCGCACCACCCCCACAAGAAAAAATCCCCAATCTGCCCCTGGACTCTACCCCCATCCCACCACCCGTGTCAACAACCGCCGCCACTCGTATCACCACGCAACAACCACCACCCACAGTACACACACAATACCACCACATCACAACCACCACCTCGCTGCACGCGGCCGAATTTCTGATCGTCTGTGTAGGCAGCAAACTCAAGCGCCGTTAGCGATGGGTTCGCCGTTTATAGTGATTGATAGCGAAGATGGATAACAGTGCCTTCGGTCCAGTGGCTTCGAGTAGCTTCAGTTTGGCGACGACACTCTTAGGTTGAGAGGTGAGGGATAGAGAGAGACGAGCAATGGAGAGGGACAAGATGCAGCTGCTGTTGTTGGAGACTGAAGGGTAGAGAGAGACGAGCGAAGGAGAGGGAACAGATGGGGGCTGCGTTTGGGTTGTGGGTAGGGTTTAATTTGTTTATTTAAATAATTAAAAAAATTTGAATTTTGAAATGTCAAACTTCCCATCTGGTTTATGAATTTTGAATAGTTAAAATATGGTTTTGTGTAATTTCCACATTCTATTATGTAAACGAAAAATTATGAAGTTTTTTGTTGGGCAATTTTTCAAATATTTTATCAACCACCTATAATGTCATTAAAGATGGCGAGATAAAATATTGGTGTCTCACTTTAGTCCACATTTTCACTAGCTAGAATTTCTGAAAAGACTTAAGGAAGGCTGATATTCAGATATTCTTTTCTTCTATAGCTTTTGTTGCATATGATTATAAGTTTGATAAAAAACTATTGAAAGGGAAATAAAGAAAAAAGCATTAGGACACCAAATGGATGGACCGTAGATGGCAATTTTTGATTGTGGGCACCATTTGGTTTTGGAATAATTCCATACGTACAGAGAATTATTGACAGAAATGATATAGGTGTTGTGCCGACAGCATTTGTGTTTGTTGTATCAAAAATCAATTAAAATTTGTCAAGTGTTTCTCTGTAAAAATTCTGTCAATTTTTTCTGTAATTATAGCAAAACTATTTTTTTTTTTGGGTAATACAATACCCATAAATTCCAATATACCACCACCAAGTTTTAATTTATGGACAATGGCCCACATTTTTTCCTAATTATTTTTTTAAGAGAGTACAATTAATTCTTCATATGAATATACAATATATTTAAAATTTCAAAAATAAAATATTACTAATTGGAAAATACAAATTAAGCTTCAATAATTTGAGGCATATAGAAAACTTCGCAAAAAATATTGAAGCATTAATATTATTACTCACCTAACAGGGGGTGCCGTTATCCCCTAACTTAAATGACCATGCATCCCATATCCACATCCCACTATAAACATCACACCTACGAACCATTCTATCGTCAATTCAAACCGTAATATCTAATCAATTTAGTTTCATCGGAAATTACGGTACCCAAAGAAATATACATGATCCATATACGAAATTTAGATAAATGAGTGTGAAAATATTATGTGCACAAACTCATAAGTCAAGTACTCGACAAGTTATAGGAACTCCGATTATGGCTCTTTGGATTTTTACTGTAATACGTAATAATTGTTTGTAATCTCATTAAAGGTTCATTTCTCGTATTTATTTATATTTTACTGGAGAGAGATGTGAAACTCGAAAAAGATGAACGAAAAAAGAGAACAAGATTTAGTAGCGGAGTCAACTCAATTGAAAATAAAAAGTTGTGATTAATATAAATTTAGTTTACGTAGACTAAATACTAGCTTTGGGTCTTTCTGGTTTGGGAGGGAACTGGGAAGAATTGAGAGTGAAAGCAAGTTGTAAAAAGAGAGAGGCAAACTGGCAACGACATCAAAAGAAAAAGGTTGGCTTTAAGTTTTACTTTATTGGTTCTTTCTTCTGTCATCTTTTTTCATGCACATTAACGTAGAAAGGGAAAAATCTGATTGAATTATTTTCTACTGTAAAACTCGATTCTTTTCAATAAATGATTTTAGACGGGAAAAAGAAAGGGAATGTCCATATTATAATAATTAGTTACGCAAGCGAATGTTAGTGCAATTGTCTTGTCTAATAAACATCTTTTCCGAGGCAAGTAGGTAAGCTATACCACTATACAAAGAAAGCTTTAAGCTTTAAAACACGAAAAAAAGTTGATCTCGTAAATATATTGATGTCATGTATTATTGAGTATAAACTCTCTTTATTTTATTATTATTATTATTATTTTTATTTTTATATCCAGGTATCCCAACTTACACTATACTAAATTCTGGACCTCCAAAATTCTTGTCTCTAGAACCTTGGAGAAGGTAAATCGCGAATTATGCCTCAATTAGATCACAGGTTCCCTCCACCGCCTGTACACTTCTGCGCACAAGAGATCCTCCTCCAAAGTGATTGCTCCATACCAAATAAATCTGACCGCAGGTTCCCACCATGATTCGAACCTCCACCCTGCCGCTGAAAGCAAGACAAATGTTGATTGATCCACCAGTTGAGCTGTGCCCCGAGGGGCTAAACTCTCTTTATTATTTCTATGCCAATTATTAAGCTCCTTAAATGAATATCATAATCTATGTTTGGGGATGATTCGAAAACTCAAGCCATGGTCCATTATAAAATTTTCTTTTAGTTCAGTGCTGACTCTGTTCTATCTACATTTGGCATCCATGAATGCAAGTCCCTATTTGATCTACCGTCTCAAGAAATTCATTTTTACTCACAAATTCTTTTAATAAAAATATATATTCTCCAAAAAATTCACTATTATGGAACTATTTTTTATTTTTTAGAATTAAAAATTCACAGTTTGTTACCATTTACTAAAGGCCACGATCTGAAAAAGAAAGAGTTAATCCACTGCTATTTATCCAACAAACTTCGAATCATACGGCAAACACCCGGTAAAGCTTGTAACAAAATACACGTGTCAAACTCTTAGTTTTTACGCCAAATTTCGTTCTACTGTACTCAACTGGGAAAAATTGAAAGTAGATCTGTCAAACGGAGCCGTCACGAATCCCGTTACCGTTAACGGAGGATGGAATGGACACGCTAATAAGAAGTCTGCACATTAGCATCTTCGTCATCATCATCACCCACTCACCCGCTCTTTCATTCTCTCTCTCTCTCTAAAACTTTTCTAACAGAAAAAGTGCCGCAACAGCTGATAATTCCCAGAACCTTCGTTTGTACACATTTGGATATATGTACACTCAGAATGAAGAGAATTCTCTTCTCACAGGTTTGCCATTGCAAAATTTGAGCATGTTTTAGAGAGAGGAGACTGAATAACATAGAACATCAGCTGCTTTCGAAAAAATTTGATTTTAGAAGGTATGAGGAAGTGTAACGGGAATGGAGAAGTCTCGTTGGTGGAGGTTGCGGAGGTAGGCTTAAGGATGACCAGAGCTAGAACTGCCCTAGCGGCTGCAAAGGCTGAGGCTATGGAGGCGACAGAGAGAAAGAGAAAAGTAGGCGAAGGAGAATTAGAGGGATCCAGGTCCACAGTTCAGCTAAAATCTCGTCGTGTTGCCACCGTGCCGGATAATTCAGCTTCGTCGGCGACTTCTGAAAATTTGTCATGCGCGAGCATTAGCTCCCATCATGTTTTAGCATCTTGCTGCTCAAGCAATGGAATGAGAGAGGTGGATAAAAAGAGTTCCAAATTCCTAGATCTGGAGGTATTCTGAAAGAATTTAATTCGATCTTAAAGCGCTTCTATAATTAATTTCCATTGAAGCTACAGAAAATGGATTGAATTTTGTCTCAGCTGCTTTGATTGTTATGTTTTGAGGTTTGAATTTTGAATTTGTTTTCTAATACAGGATGAGAATGAAGTGAGTGTGGAGGAGATTGCAACATCAACTGGTGATTCGTTGGATTGCCATGAGAGGTAAATATTAAATTTTCGATACAAATGTGATTCTTCTCTATACGTCTCTTCAATTCAAAATTTAAATCTCCAGATGAATTGAACCTCAACGGCTTCACTTTATTTAATTTCTTCCGTTCAAAATTTTTCACACGCCTTCTCTCTCTCTCTCACTTCTAGTCATGAATAAGAATACTTCTCCTTCAAAAAAACAAGTACACTTTTCTTGTTTCAGCAAACAGAAGACCCCATCCTCCGAGTTACAGTCCGAGTCAGGCGATCTGGAATCAACGGCGAGGCCACACGAGGCGAGTTCTCGCCACCGCTCGCAGGCGGAGAAGATGCCATCAGAAGCGGAGCTGGAAGAATTCTTCACCGCCGCCGAAAAGGACCTTCAGAAAAAATTTGCTCACAAGTAATTTTTCTCTCCTCACATAGTAAAAGCACCTTTGGATTCTTAGCGTTGGCCATAAATCATACATTAATGCAGGTATAACTATGACATAGTGAAAGACAAGCCAATGGAAGGGCGCTATGTGTGGGTTCAACTTTAAGTAAAGCCATGAAGAACAGAAGAAGACAGAAATTTTTTTACAACCCGCAAGGAATGAAGATTATTACACTGGCTATCTTCTCAACTGCTACAATTCTTATTTAAGTAATAGTATTAGTAAGTACTGGTTTAAATCTTATTCCATGTTTTCAATGTTCTTGAATGTATAGTTAGTTCTCTAGTCTTGTCTGCATATATTTATCTGCAAGTAGTTAACTGTAGTTCGTAGAGGAGAATCTTCTGCAGCAATAAAATGGAAATTCAATCCCCTTTAAGGGAAAACATTGAAGAACCAAAAGCTCTTTTTAGTTTTTAGTCCTATTTTTCCATGCCTGTCATTTCTCTGCACCGCAATTTTCTGACGCTTGTACAATACCAATCATATTTCTGTGCATCTTCCATATTTCATTTTTCTCTTCCCCTTTCTTTATTTATCATATTCAGAGCCATAAATTATCATATTCTGGTAGTGGAATATGTTGGGGGTGGGATTTGGAATTTGGAGCGAAAATGAGGGTGATTCAATGATTCATTGAACGAGTGACAGAGAAAGTATGTGAGTGGTAAAAAGCTAAAGAAGAAAAGAGCTTGCCGTGTAAGCTACGGGCATGTGTTGAAGATTGGGAAAGCTGACCTGGTCCCATGTGGGCGTGGGTTTGGAGTCTGGACTGGACCTATTCCTTCATTTTTTTAACCCTACTTTAGTGCATTATAAAGTACAATATTACAGTGAAATTATTACTTCCACAATGTTCTTTTACAAATATAAATAAACCACAAGAAGCCAGTTTATACGGATTGTGTGAAATATGTAGCCATCTAAGACAGAGAGGGGCAAGTCACAAGAGTGGTACTGGAACTGTTAATTTCTAACAAAGGAAAGGAAAAATAAACTCGTGGTGTGGAGTGGTGGTCCCTGATTTTTCCAAAGGGACGGCTGAAGGGGTGGTAGGCCAAGACTTGAACAGGATGAACTCATATCTGACTATCTATGTTGACATCAAAAGTGACTCTCACAGAGTTTCAAAATCAAATGATGGCTGTGGGTGTTTCCTTGTTTGTTGTGGTTTAATTTCGAATTAAACGATTCTAAATGTCGTTAGTGAAAGATTAAACTTTCTAGTCTACACATTAGATTAAAATCGAATGCTAATAGATGGGGAAGGCAATTATAATTATATTACAATAGAGCCCAGGCCACCAACATTTGTATGTGGCGAGTGTTTCAGTGAACTCATAAAGCAAAATTTAGGGGATGTCCTCAATTGAAATTGCAATAGATTTTAAAAGTCATTCTAAATTTAGGTATCTTCAATTGAGATTTTTTTGAATTTTAATTAAATTGATTAAAATTTAGGTGTCCCCAATTGAAATTTTAATGAAATCCTTTAAAATTTAGGTATTCTCAATAATTAGTGGATTTATAAAGATTTCATTAATAGAAGGATTTTAAAATATTTTGATGGATTTCAAGATTAAAAATACATATAAGTAAAATTTTTGAAATTTCACCATATTTGATGAGATTTTTATGAAATTTGTAAGAATCTATTTAAATTCATCAAATTCATTAGAATTTATAATTATTTAAAATTCATAAAAATTTTAATTGAGAACACCTCCGTAAGTTATTGATTGGGATTTGTAAATGAACGGAAGGGTTTGTCACATGTAGATGTTAGTGCGAGAGCAAGAAATAATGATTAGGAATGTGGTAACAGAAAGAGAGGAGAAAGTGGCACATGCACCAGATTCCAAGCATCTTCCGATTTGATTCGGTACATAATTGCTAATACGTCTATAGGCATCTTTCCACCTAATGCGATCGTTTTATATATGTATAAAGCGAAACAATTTTTTATGATATATAGATTCTACATGCGATATTTGTAAATAATATAGTGTGGAGTAGAGTAGGTGATTTAACTTTAGTACGGAGAATACTAATTAACAGTGTATATATACACACACACACTAACTAAATGACGTATATAAAGTAATCCCGATAACACCAAATAGGACACCATTTGGACCATATTGGCTTTCATCGAGATTAATGCTCTAGTAGTGCAATGATTTTTGTCTGTAGTTTAGTATCAACATGTTTTTATGGTAACATATAATTGAAATTTATTTGGCTCAATTTTTCAATGGGTGTATTGACGCTCGATAGAAATATCATAACACCTAATTAATCTAACATGCATGATGAGAAAATATATCATTATTGATCAACGCTACGTTATTACCGTCCTTGTTCACGTGATAAGGCTAGAAATGTACTTAATTTAGTTTAAGGGCCTGTTTGAGCCACATTATCCAAAAAAATACATTCTTAAGCAGTGATTTGATATCATTTCAACTACACATTCTTTAATAAAAAAATATTACACACAGATTAAAAAAAATTTCTTATTTTTTAATCATACATTTTCCATCAATAAACTATTTAAAAATACATTATTACCAAAATAATGTGGCTCAAACACCCCTAGATATGAAATATGGACTAAAAAAAAAAAAAAGGCACAATGATGACAAGCACGTGAGTGGGTGTGTGCCGATCGTCTATTTAAAGTGAAAGGATATGCATTAATTAGAATGGATAAGAAGGACGTGCTCAAAGATACACCTAATGGTACCGTAATGATTTGAGATCCCAATGAGGCTCTGAAGTTAATAAAAAAAAGTAAACACTTCCATCCAATAGTGGAAAAATAGCGGCTAAAATCAGGCACGGCATTTTGTGCAGCACTCTTTTTGGATCAAATCTTCATGCAATATGGTCCACTCTATTGAAAGATTAAAGATTTTTAAGATTTGGTTGGCCAATAAATTTACGGCTTTTTTGGGAGTGATTTTTTTCTTTCAAAAAAATTAATTTTTTGATCGTTATTTCACTATTTCGATCGTCATATTTGACTTTTTCTTTCACAGGTGGACCCAACTTTTTTTCTAACGGTCAAAAAATCAATTCTCAAAATTGATTTTGTGACATTACTGGTGCCATTTTCTGAATTCCAACTTGTAGCTGAAATTATGAATTTTATGCACACGTCGAGCAATTTGTTGGAAAGATGGATTAGAAAGATATTTCTAAATGCTAGATTAGATTAGAAAGACAAAATGCCTTCAAATATGAAAATTTTTGATTGAGCCATCAATATTGTTGTATTTTTTGACTTCTAACTTACTATTCTTCAATTTTTTTTGAGCAATTTCCTCAATCTGGATTGAATCAACTCTAATTGTGTTGATACTACACTAAGGTTGCTAATCTTTTTTCTTTTTTTTTTTTTGTCGCGTTTATGTGTCTTTTTTGTCACGTTCTTATCCGTAATTTTTTCATGTAATCTTTGATAATGGTTCATCCATTCACGTCTAAATATTTTGTTTGTGCACTTTAAAATAAGAAACAAATACCCTTTTTTGCATTTTTGGAATTATTTATTTTTTATTTAAAAATATGAGAGGCAACAGTTTTTTTACGTCATTCCAACGGACATTTTGCAAAGAAACCATCATCATGAAAAATATGTGCCCATTAGTAAAATGAAATAAAACTGTGACAAAAATAAGTTTGAAACATAAATAATAATAAATAAAAAATAAAAATCTTTAATGCAATTAAAATTGGTACAACAATTTGGACGTATGTGGAATGACATCGATGTTGTAAGGCTTAAAATATTTAATTTCCCCAGCTAGGGCCTACGTCCTAGATATTGATTTGGTCAATCCCGCTAGGCGTACAAAGTGGGTTCACAGAGCAGGTTCGTGGCACTAATGTTAAAAAAATAATAATAATAATAAAATCTTTAAAACTTTAAAACCTAAAATCCAAAATCATGTTTCTCCACCATTTTCCCCAAATCAAACACTTTTTCTCAAACCCATCTCCTCTCCGAAGCATTAACCTCCGGTAGCCGCTCTACTCCGACAGTCCTCGCACCTCCGGCGTCATCCCATCTCCGGCAGTCGCTCAATTCCAGCAGTCTACTCGCTCCTCCCCCCCCCCCCCCCCCCCCCCGCCCCCCGTATTTGTGTGTGGCCTGTACGGGTAGCAGAACTCGAAGGATGATGGTAGAAGGTTATTGTTTTCAATTATTGAGACCCTAAAAACTCCTTAAACCTTCAACATTTACCCATTTGCAAAGCAGAGTTCAGAAAATGCCCAACATTATCCACAAATAGAGTTGAACATAAAAAAATAAAGATGGATCAAAATTTCTGTACATTTTTCTATGTATGAAATGATACAAGCTTGTAGTATATATACAATAATGCTAACTAAATCTGTCACAAAAAGATCTAGTAATGGAGAATAAGTTGGAGTGGAGAAGATGGATAGGAGGAGTGGGAGCTTCAATGCCGGGTTCCTCGTAGAATGTAATGACCCGGTGCCGGAGATGGAGAATAGGCTGGACTGGAGAAGATGGACTGGAGGAGTGGGAGCTTCAATGCCAGGTTCTTTGTAAAAACATGCACCTTGGCCGGCAGTAGCAAAAAGGGCTTCATGTTTTGCCGCCCCAATTCTATTTTTCCCTCTCCGTTTAGAATTCCCGTTGTGTGATTTTCTTTTTTGGGAGGAAATGGGTTGAAGGGGAGCTGATTTGGGGTAGCTGGGGAGAGAGAAAAGGAGCTTGTATGTTTAGAAATTTTTGTCTTTTTTTTTTTTTTTTTTTTGGGGGGGGGGGGGGGGAAAAAAAAGGGGGCAAAAAAAAAAAAAGGGAAATTCATTTACTGTGTTGTTTATTACCTAACCTAAACGCATACTTAACTTCCACATTATGTCTCCATTATTTCTCATTACATTAAATTTAATTTTTCTCTCTTTTACTTTTAACCACACAATTTTCAATAAAATAATATTACACGTAAATTAAAAAATTTTCAATCACCCATTTTTCAAAAAAAATACTATTCATTTCATTATAATGTCAAATAATGGGGCTCAAACACATCCTTAGTGAATTCAAGAACTTCAAATAGGTGGTTTAGAGCAAATAATTAGGTGGAATATATTGAATACTATGCATATCGCAGTATTTATAGAAAATTAATTTTCAATAGTTAAAATACCTTAAATTCTTCCAAAAAAAAATTGAAAATTATAGTGCATGCTAATTCTCTATAAATTTTGTCTTGTGAACATTATTTGCCGGAAAAAGTATGTTTTTTTTAGGCCCAATCCTTCTTAGGGTCCTGACAAATCAGGCCCAAGATATAATATATTAATGGGTGGATTATTGACATCACATTTTTCATTAATTGCAAAATATTCGCAACTTTTATACATTATTATATTTATGTCCTCAACTTTTTCATTACAT